AAATCCAGCAGCTTCAAATAGAAATGGTTAGGAGTGCTCCACCAACAGGAGTTAAGGGCAAGACTTTTATAGAGAGGATGCAGAAGCAAAGCAAGGAAATCATTTGATGGGCTGTAGCTTAAGTGGTTGTCTTATTTGGGAAATCCTAATTGGCTGTTTGAGATTTGTTGTCTAGGTTTTTAACTCCTAAGTTGTCCTTAGGTCTCTTAACTCGGAGGTATTTACAGGCTTCGGTTTTGGTTTGCTTACATAGGCTGCTAATGCCTTAGAACCAACCCAGTCTAATGGCCTCCTTGTTTAATTTAACAATAGCGTGCTGTATGAAAATGTGATATTTAGTTTGACTTAGTTTATTTCAAGGTTTTCTTACTGTCACGTTTCTTTAGAGCCATGGGGATTATCACCAACAAAAATATATTAAGTGCTCAGTGGGAAAGTTGTAGAGTATTTCTGACTTGGACCAGGTTTAGATGTGGGGTGCTGGTGTGATGGTGGCAGTAAACATTAACACATGCAAAAAAATTTTTAAATTCAGAAAATTTGCATAGCTTACAAGTGTTGCCTTTGTTCGTGTTACGAGTTAACTTATTTTGGAATCTAGCTGTCTGGTGAGAAACAGCATAGACTGTTATTTTTTTGTCTTGCTGTTAATCTGAACTGTTTTGTAGCATCACAGTTAGACTTCAATTACAACAAAGTTATTTCCACAAAATAAAGATTTTGGGCCTTTTTCTATACATGAAAACCTCATTATGAAGCCCTTACTAAAATTTTATAACAAGAAGTTGGTCGTGTGGGTATCATTATATTCCAACAGTAATTTATCAGGAAGTCTTTCTACAGTGAAAGGAGTACATTGTCCCAAAAACTTAAGAAAATGTATGAAATGTACAGAATCTAAAATTGAGATACATACAAATAAATCTTTGTAATATTTAAAATATATTTAAATTGGGAAAAAATAGCTACCTGCAAAGCTGAAATTTATTTTAAGAATAATAAATAAAAATCACTTATTTTAAATGAGCGGGAAATAAATATATTGAAAAATCCTGTTACAAATAAGATAAATTAGTTATAGAGCTGAAGTAGTTGTTTCTACATCCTACCCAGAGGACCCTATCAAAATTTTAGGAAAACCTGGCAATCGTAAATAGTGTGAAAATAGGTATGGACTTAAAGGGAAAAAATGCAATTGTGTGCATCATTTTTGTAGCTTTCTAGAAGTGTCTGTGTATTTCTATTTAAATTATTTGAGCTCATATAATACAATCCTAATTAATGACCTCTAATCCCTAGAGTTAGATTGTCTATACAAATAAGGCTTTTCTAATGCATATAGAAAAGAGGCCTACCAACTTGCTATAAAAGATATAAACTTGCTATATAAAAGTTACATAACTTGCTTCTTTGATTTCTCTTCTACTGGTATTTTTCCACAAATGTTTGAAGGTCAGAGTTTTTGTATGTGAGTGATATTACTTTAAAAGGTAAAAATGCTAAGGGTGAAAATCAAGGAATTGGAAGTTTTAACCTTTTTTAACCCTTTCATACTTGATGCCCTTGAGAATTCCTATTTTGAGTAGCATATATTTTCCTTGAGAATTTGTATGCTGCCAAAGGTGCTTATGATTAATTTATAAATAGACATAGAAAATTTAGCACAATTTGTTGTTAAATTATTTATTCACCATGAAAAACACATGTTTTCACATGAACACTACAGATTCATAATAAAATGCCAGCTAACATCACAAATTAATGCTTTTAGAATTCACTTTAATAATGTCGTGCAGCTTTGAGTTACATTTTCTTTTTGTTCACTCTAGACTGGAACTCAACACAATCTGCTCAAAGGAACTTGAAATATTTTGAAAGTTACATGATGAGAAAAGAAACGTCTAATTCTACTAAATGAATAATTCTCTCCATTCAGCACACATACATTGAGCAGCTTTGTGTCCAGTTCTGGGGGGAATTATGATAAATAAGACATTTCCTGTCCACAGTGAAGTTATAGACTATTTATAGTACATTATGCTAGGAACAGAATCCTGTGGAAAGTCCCTCACTGAGAGTAAGAGACCAACAAAAGTTTTCCTAGAGAATGTCACATTTGAGCTGCCTATTCATTAAAAAATATGTTTCTAATACTTTTAATTAATCAGTTGGTGTTCTGTGGCGCAGAAAGTGCTTTCCATGAGTGGGTTACAAGTATGCTGGGATACTAAGTCCTTCAGTCCTTGAGAAAACCAAATGGGGACCAGAGTGAGCAGGGGCCGCCAGTTATAAACAGTCTCCTTTTTTCCTAGTGTTCCATACAGTTGTTACCATTTTCCATATGTATGATAGGAAAAATATTCAGAAATAGTGGTATAGAGAAATACCATCATTTAATGTGACGGAATCTCCACTTAGAGTTTCCAAGCGATCACACACTTGCAAATAAAAGACAAATTGAATAACCAAATTTTAATATAGGCTTTTTTTTTTTTTCTTAATTCTGGTAAAACATACATACAGTTCAGTGATATTAAGTACATTCACATTATGGTGCAATATCATCACCACCTGTCTCCTGAACTTTTTCATCTTTTCAAACCAAAATTCCATACTCATTAAACAATAACTCTCCCGTGCTTCTATCCCCCAGCCCCTGACAACCACCATTCTACTTTCTGTCTCTGAATTTGACTATGCTAAGTACCTCATAGTAGTGGAATCACTGATATAGTATTATACTGTTGTAACTGCCTTATTTTACTTAGCTTAATATCTTGCAGATTCATCCATGTTACAGCATGTGTCATAATGTCCTTTCTTTTTAAGGCCGAATACTATTTTATTATGTATATACCACATTTTGTTTATGTGTCCATCTGTCAATAGACACTTGAGTTTGCTTCACCTTTTGGCTATTGTGAATAATAATTAGTTTACAAATATCTGTTCACATCCCAACTTTCAGTTCTTTAGTGTGTATACCTAAAAGGGGAATTGCTGGATACTATAATTTTATTTTTAAATGTTTAAGGAACCACCATTCTATTGTTCATAGTGACTGCACCACTTTATATTCCTGGCAGCCATTCACAAGGGTTCCATATTCTCTACATCTTCGCCACCACTAGTTGTTTTTTGTTTTTTTTATAATAGCCATCCTAATGAGCGTGAACTGATATTTCATTATGGTTTTGATCTTCATTTTCCTAATGATTAGTGATGTTGAGCATCTTTTTATGAGATTATTAGTAATATGGGCTGATATTTTTAAAGATTTGGGGGGGGCAGAGAGAGACTTGTCTCACCCAGTTAATGAAATCTAATTCACAAGCAACTTATTTTATAGAATTAGTTCAGCCTAATCTTTTTTTTTTTTTAAGATTTTATTGGGGAATTGGGGAGGGGAACAGCATTGGGGAATCAGGGAAGGGGAACAGACAAGTTGCTGTCTTGCTGTTTTGTTCTTCAGTCTAATTTTGGAGGATGTCGCTTCACTGGCCCATGTTGGTATTATGATCATTGCGCTCTTCCCGGGTGAGGCAGATTGGTCGCCAGCCATTGGACGGCCGCTCACGGTAGCTTATGGGAGCCCACTGCAGCTCCACTGCAGCCTACACCGTCACCGGTGACTCATGGCAGCCAGCTCCAGGTTGAGCTGTTGTTCACCATCTTAGCTGTAGAGGGCGCAGCATCACTGGTCCTCATGTTGGATCCGAAGCAGGGCCCTGCTGCTCAGAGCTGGCATCCCAAGCCAACTCTTAACCAATGCGCTACTCAGTCGGCCCAGTTCAGCTTAATGTTAAATTTTTACTGTTGCAAAGAATCTTAGAAGTTATCAGAGTTTTTATTCTGAAATCCATCAGTTAGTCCAGAGAGTCCATGAATAGCCTGAATTAAAGCAAAATTCCATTAGATTCTGAAAAGTGTCTTTGACCTTTAAAAACTTAAGAATGATTGATACAGCCCAGAATCACAAAATGTTAAAAAAAAAAAAGATTTTGGGTTGGTGAAATTAAGGTGATTTTTAAATTTCTACTGTGTGTTTTTCTGTATTTTCCAAAGTATCAAAAATAATCATAGTACATGTGATTTTTATGTTATTTTATAATTTAAAAAGTAAAATCCATCTTTAGCTCTTGGACCTACAATTAAAAAACAAGTCTAAAAGCTAAAAAATAAAGTGGGTATAGTGTGTTCTTATCATTGTCTGCCTTTTCTTAGAGTCACAGCATTCCTAAATCACTACAAAAAGAACAGGCAGGCTTTAAAGCTACAAAAAAAGAAAAAGATGTTTACCATTGAATACATTTTAACTGAATTAAATGTAATAAAGTATTGAGTTTGAGTTTTTTATAATGAGCTATTACTATAAAGTGAATGTGATGTGCAGGTTCTATAGCTAGAAAAGCAACATTTACCACTGAATTCATTTCAGCTGGAATTCACGAAGGGAAAATAGTTGATTTAAGTTCTTTATAATGAAATTTTACTGGCGTTCCCACAATATCTTTACATAGTACATACTATAATTACTTTTTAAAGGTATTGGGGTTTTGTTTTAAAACAATGATCACTTAATTTTAAAAGCAACTGTAAAGAATTCTCATTAAATATCTATGTTAGATAGATGAATACATAACTGTGTTCAATTTAGCATCCTAAAAAACTGTAGGAAATCCTTAAGATTATGTGAAGAACTTTGTAGGACATCTTACCTATTCAAATTCATTGTCTGGTCTCCATATCTTCTTCAATCTTTTTGACTAGATTTAAGAACACTCCAAGTAGGGCTTAAATTCCTCGACCATTTAATATCCTTTGGCCTCCATTTCCTTTTCTGTTGGCCTGGAACTAGATAGTCCTATTCAACTCTGACATTTGTTCAGTCTATATATCTGCTTAACTGTATTGTTTATGCTGTGAAATTTTATATTTATTTTATAACTACATTTTTTAATTTATGCCATCTTTTTGAATTCCTGTTTTTCTTTTTGCAGCTGTATGCAGGAGCTATTCTTGAAGTCTGTGGATGAAAATTGGGGAGGTTCCCTCAAGTCCAAGGTATGTAATTAACGCTAGTAAATTCTTAGTTTAATAATTTAAAACCAACATTTTACAAGAATAATTTTATTATATATTAACACGAATAAGAATTTTTAGGATTATACTTTCTCTACAGCATATGAATTTTTTCCACATTTGTTTTCATGTCAGTTGAATTTTATGGTAATTGTTGAATACTAGGTTGCTTTAAGAAAGCATAATATATGAAATTAAGATTTAAATACTACACATGATGAGGTGGTTATTTTCTTAAAAAGAGCTTTTTCTTTATTTAGCAAGTACAAATTTTATGAGAACCATTCTTTTACCAGATATAAATGTAATCCCTTTAGGTAGCATTTCCTTCTAGTATATTTTAAATGTGAATTGATTTATATAAAACTCCTAAGGAACAATTGCATTAAGTGAGACTAGACCTGTACAAAATGAAAAATCATCAAGAATAGAATTAATTTTCATAGAACTTGAGGTGCAGAAGAGAATAAGTCACACATGTATATCTTCACAGGAAATTTTAAGGTTAAATATGTGAAAGGATATTTCTAAACTATTTTTTTGGTTGCTATCAAACAGTAATGGAACTTTGCAATTCCCAAAATACTTGGACTAAGGCTTTTTCCTATTCTGTCCTTGCATGTTTCTTTAAAATCAGTTTTCTGAAACTGAACTTGTCTGAAGGTGTCAACCAGTGGTTGTTGACACCAATACAACACCAACAGGAATCCCCAGTTTGGGTTGTTTAAAGAAACTTTATTCAGTGCAAACTACTCAGCTGTAACACAGCACGGCTGTGGAGCAGCACAGCTGTGAAACAGCATGGCTTCGAGGCGGCCCTCTCTGGCTACACAGCGCTCTGCTCTGCTATCCTTCAGTCGGCTTCACCTGCTCTGCTCCACTCTATTCCAGCTAGATGTCTTTGGTGTTTCAGCTCCAGCTGGGGAAATGCAGTGGAAAAAGAAAGTGTTTTGTCTGAGCTAGAGGGGATCTGACTTATAAAGAGAAGTCCCTGCCCCTAGTCCCTGATGGTCCATCCTCATGCAGATTAGGACTGCAAATCCTCAAACTATGATTGGTCCAAAAGGCACTGTCCTAATTGGTCAGAATGGAGTTGCTCTGATTGGTTAGTGAAGATACTGATGGGGGAACTCCTTTATAACGGTTGGTTCAGTCAGCAGAAACACAGTGCAGGCAGGCAGTTCAGTGCAGGCGGGAGGCAGGCAGCTTAAGTGGAGGCTTCTCAAAGCACCATTTGTGTGAGAGGCCCATTTTAGAAAAGGCTGCTAGGCTCTGTTTTTAAATTTGAGCCCAGTTAGCCACCAGAATTTCTTCTTAGTAGGTATCTGCTTTCTCTGGATCAACAAAGGTAATGATGTTCTTTTCTTTTTTAACTGAAATACATGAGTGCTCTATTTATATGCCTCATTCTGTTTTTGTTTCTGCTGGTTTTCCCATAATTTCTTGCCTTATTTACTTAATGTCAAGATAATTATTTGGATTTATTGTGTTATAAAATTGCCTGTATTAGCACCTGCCCTTTATTGCTGACCTAAAATTGTTTATAATAAAATGCTGCTCATTTTGGCACAAAAAATGAAATAGAATAATTTGACTTGGGACACTTTCTATGAGGCTCAAAGCAGATACTCGTCTAATTAAATATATTCTTTGTTAGAATAAGCACAAATTCTGATGTAACAGAGAATATAACACTTCTGTTTAGGGAAAAAAATTCCTTACTCTGTATTTTTTTTCCTCAAACACTTAAACTCAGAATTGTACTATAGTTGTTTTTATATAAGCTCTCTGAATGATAACGTGATCACTCATTCCTAGAAAGTTTGGCAGTTGCTTTTTAATTATATTGATTATTCATATTTACTGACTTGTTTTATTAATAATCTTTTGTGACTTAGCTTTTCATGTGGTCAAGAGTAGCTTTGATACCACAATTAGCCCTTCTATTTGTGATATCAGATTTTATTATGTCCTTGGTAATAATTTCTAGTTTATAGTTCAGTCTATAAAAGCTTGAGTATAGTTTCTCAATCTTTGTAGAACTTAATTTTATATATATATATATGTATAAAATATGTATATATTATGTATAAATTATCAAACCTTTGGGTACGTGTATTCATACTGCCTTTTCCTTTTGAAAACAATTGGATTTTAATTCTATGCATAAATATTTAATTAGTACAAGCTGACTTAAAATGAAAATGATTGTTTATGTAATCCATAACCATATTCGCTATAATTATGTATAATACCAATATTTTCTGAACCCAAGAGAAGTTGGTATATTTTTAATACAACCTTTATGTATTCCTACTTTCAGACTCACTAATAGCTATTCCGGAATAGGGCATGAAGGAGAATTGCCAGTTTTTACCATAATTACAAACACCGAACTAATTTCCATGTCGTCTTTGTTTCATATTGTCATCAGCATCAAGTAGCTTCAGGAATTAGCTTACAATATGTTATAATTTTTTTAATTCACTCAACTTAAATTAGCCTTGTCATAAAATAGAAAAGTAAATTAATGTTAAATTTTTCTGGAAGAGAGAGAGATTTTAATTTTGAAATGTTTTATCCACATTAAACAACTCATTGTTTATAGAAGAAAGTCCCAGATCATATTTCCTAGCCAATTCCTGGTATGCTTCCTCAAATACTTTTGTTTCCATGTTTTGATTGTTTAAGTAAGAAAGGCAGTATGTGTAATAATTTCTCTTAATAGATTGGGCCTAGTGTTCTATCACTGTGGTGACATCAAAAGTAATAATATATAAGGGGGTGGCCGAGTGGCTCAGTTTGGTTAAGTGCTCGCTCAAGAGGGCGAGCTCTGAGCAACAGCAGTTCGATTCCCAGCCTGAGCAGAGCTGCCAACAGGTGGCAGGATGACTCAGCTAAAAAAAAAAAACCAATAATATAAATAAGTATGTTTTCCTTCTCTACAAGTATGAATCTTACCATGTTAAGGATATATCTGTCTTCATAAAAAATGTATGAATTTTCTCTAATTTTGTAGTTCTTGTCAAACTATTTCTATAAAAGGCTAGATAGTAAAAATGTTCAGTTTCACAAAGAACCAGGATTAGTTACTTGTTATTTGGTCTAGCCTATCTCTGTTTTCTTTTCTTATTTCGACTGACTCCTCTGTACAGCTACCAAAAAGACCTTTTTCATGGGCAGACTTGATTATGTGGCCCTCTTGCTTAAATTCCTTATAGTTTTCCATCATATAAAGAATAAATATCGACCTCAATAGCGTCATGTATGACACCCATCACAACATGGTTTCTCTGTTTTAGGTTAACATTTTTAGTTCATGTGCAGAACTATTTGCAGTTCCCTGAACTCTGACCTCTAAGTCTTTACACACACTATGTACCTCCTGGCTTATGCCCCTTCCTAATTCTTTGGCAAACTCCTATTCACCCAAAATTTAGTTCTAGCATTATTTTTGAGGGGCCTTTGGATAGAATTTTTCACTCTTTTCTTTAGAATGTTCCATAGCAATTTCCACATAATATCATAATGTGTTTATTTGGCTTACTGGTCTTTTGCCTCTACCAAACTAGTAACTTCTTAAAGCCCAGAATTAAATATATACATATATACATTTATATTTATATATATATATATATATATATATATAAAAATGATATATATATCATTAATATACCTAGAATCTACTTTACACTGTCCCTCTTACTAAGAGGAATTTAAATATTGAATGAATAAATGGGTTTACTAAATTGATTTCATGAAATGGTGCCCCCAATTTTGACAAAAAGGAATCTGGTGAAAAGCCTGTGTTTTCATTGGTTGTATACCCTGATGAATTTATAGTCTTCAAACATTCCTTTTCTGACTTTGTTATTCTGACTGAGAAGTCATAATCTTTTTAGTTTGTCTTGTCTTCATTATTGTACCTCAGTCTCCCCCAAATTCTCTTAATTATTTAAGTTTTCCTTCTCTGAATGTTTTTAAGTGCTTTTAAATTGTCTTATTGGGAGGACCCAAATGACTCATTATTTTACAGTCCAAATGGTTTGTATCTGATAGTAAATATTCTTATTTTAGAAATACTCTTTTGAGCACAGTTGAGAATCTAGTTCTATTGTTGTTTGTTGTTGTTACAGTTCCCTTTGTATTGTTGTTTCTGGGTATGATAAGACATTTTTATTTAGAATATGTTCTAATTCAGATGTACTTATGTTTAATCAACAGGAAAACATCTAATTGTCTTCCCATGCAATTTAATGTGACAATTCACAAATCTTATTCGTACCTGCCATAAGCTCGTATTAAATTAAGATCCAAATTAAATCTTAAAATCAGTAGAGTACATTGTAGGACTACATATAATGTGATCAAAGGTATATTATTAGATCTAGCTGAGTATATTTTATCTCTTTTTTTATTTATATTTCTACTAGTTTATCATTTTGAAAATAACATGATTCAAACATTTTTCTTTATAACCTCACGATATGTCTTTTCTATTATTTCCCTATCCTGACTTTTATCCTCTTTTTAGAACAAAGAAGAGGATAGATTTTTTTAATAGTCTTTATAGTTAACTCTGAAGAGTTTCAGAATTATACGAAGAGTCCCACAACTTTCCAAGCAGTGTGTACAGCAAAACTTAAATCCTCTCCTAGGGGCCCATACAAATGACTGCTGATAAGAATCCTAAGAGGAAAGCTGAAACATTTCATGTGTTTTCTCATCACTCTGTATGTTTCATCACTTTGAAGTATTGTTAACAAAACTGCCTTTCTGACAGATAATTAAATCGGCATAAGAACATTTTCCAGAAATAAAGTGACTGGATTAATTTCTTTAAGAATCTCCAAACTGATATCTGCTGTTTTTAAAACAGCAGACAGTAAACTAGAAAATATTGGGTCTTCGGAAAAGTCATGATGCATGTTTGCGACAGATGGCACTAGTTCATTTTTAGAAGTACTAGAGTCATTCGCATCTATGTTATTGCTTTATCATTTGACAGCTGACAGTTCTAGCTTCATGCTAAAAAAAAATTGAGCGATTTGGTTGAGTTTTGGAGATTTTACAAGTTGAAGATGGAAGACCAAACTGTGCATTTTTGCCATATTTTACTGTTTTACTTCCATAAAGGGAAGAGCTTGCCTCAAGCTTGTGAAAAGTTGCATAAAGTTTACAGTGACAATGCTCTACAAGAACGTCAGTGCCAGTGATGGTTCATGAAATTCCGTGCTGGTGATTTTGATCTCAACGATGCTCCTCGGTCAGGGAGGCCCACCGAGGTTGATGACGACAAAATAAAGGCATTGATCGAGTCAAACCCACATTACACAACACAGATTGCAGAAACATTGAACATCCATCATTCAAGCATTCATGACCACCTGAGGAACCTGGGATACGTAAGCTAGCTCGATATTTGGGTTCCGCATGAACTCAAAGAAGTTCATTTGATGGCGGGTATAAACATCTGCAATATGCTCATTAAACATGAGGAAAACGATCCTTTTTTGAAGCGAGTAGTGATGAGAAGTGGATTGTTTACAACAATGTGGTGCGCAAACGGTCTTGGTCCCAACGTGATGATTCACTTCAAACGACATAGAAAGCAGACATTCATCAGAGGAAGGTTATGCTCTCAGTGTGGTGGGATTTTAAAGGTGTCGTGTTTTTCGAGCTCCTACCAAGGAACCAAACAATCAATTTGAATGTGTACTGTCGACAATTGGACAGTTTGAACGAATCCATCATCCAGAAACGTCCAGAGCTTGTTAATTGTAAAGGAGTTATTTTCCATTGTGACAACACGAGACTACACACAAGTTTGATCACCTGTCAAAAATTATTGGAGCTTGGATGGGATGTGTTGCCACGCCCACCATACTCGCCTGACCTTGCGCCATCAGACTTCCACTTGTCTCACTCTCTTCAAAACTCCTTGCATGGTATAACGTTCAATTCAGATGAGGCTGTAAATCAGCACCTTGTTCAGTTTTTCACAAATGCAGGTCCTTCTATGAACTAGGAATTATGAAGCTCACTGAAAGATGGCAAAAGGTTATCGAACAAAATGGGCAATATATCATTGATTGATCTTTGTTCTTTATATAAATAAATGACCTTTGAAAAACAGACAAAATACGTCATGACTTTTCCGACAACCCAATAAGTTACTGTGAGGTCTTTTTGTAAGTCCCTTCTATTCTCATGTAGCCTATCCTAGTGCTGTGTGTATATAATAACTACTCAAATATCTGTTAAATGATTAATTTATTGCCTGTAAAATGTGATTTGCTACTACAGATATTCCCCTCATTCAAAATTAGGAGGCTTATCGATACATGCTTAACAGAGAGCACAGAACTGATGAAAATTGTCATTAGTGACTCATCTAAATATTCCTTTTAAATTTGTTCACTCATTCCAACTTGTTAAAAATCTGTTAAATAAAAGTTATTAAATGCACTAGGCTCTGTTATACAAAAAATATATATATAAGACTAGTCCTTTTCCCCAGAGAGGTTTCTTACATAGTAAGTTCTATACTGGGTGTTAAGTGGTGTTTTGCACAGGTGTGCATACAGCGTTTGTCAAAGGGATGGTAAAAATCCAACAGCATATCATAAGATCAGCTTTTGAGGATTCAGAAGTCTGCAAAATATTTGGAAAAATCCTGAAGGATAAAGTTAATGAAGATTCTAATAAGCCAGAATAATAATCAGTTTAATTTTGAACTAAATGTTGTAGGGGAAGTTTAGGTGGAATATATAACTCTCTTCCAACAAGTCCTCAAAACCTTAAAAGAAAAAGGAAAACCATTCACTAATCTTTGTGTTGTCCTAAATACAAGTATATAAATTCTTTCATAATGAAACATGTCTATAGTGCTATTGCTAGTTAATTCTAAGTTTAAAAAATAAGTTCTCAAAAGCATGTGTGTCATAAAATCTAAGTAGAGAATGATGCAAACGATAAGAGAGGACTGGTATTAAGAACTATCGAATAGCTAAATGAAACATCTCATTTGTTCTTATTTTAGAAAGATGTATTGTAAATTGTTTTAACTTGGACCATTAGACATAATCATTACTAAAAAACTGGTAAAATGTAGATCAACAGCATCTGCAAAAAGGAAAACTATCCATTAAAATTTCCCCAAACCCTATGCTCCAGATATAACCCCCTATTAAATTAATAATAAACATTTTCTGTTTTATTTATTGTGCTAAGTATTTTATATTTTCTTGCTTAATTTTTTTTAAAGATTTTGTTTGGTGCTTCTGGCCTTTTTCCTTTGTAAATGTATACATATATATAAAAATGTTTATCCATCGTGTTTTAACAATCATAGGAAACAAACTGATCTATAACCTGCTTTTTATATATAATATGAGTTTGCTTCCATATCACTAAATATAGATTAGCATAATTTTGAATGATTGGATACATTCAATGGTGTAGTCTGTATATAATTTATTTAACCAATAGCCTTTTACACATTTAGATTATTTCCAAATTTCCAGACTTGGTTAGCAGGACCTTATGTATCTTTGCATTATTGTGTAATTATTTCCTCAGAATAAAGACATTCTTAGAAGGGAACTTGCAGGTTTAAAGAGTATGTACATTTTAAGACTTTTGGTACATTTTGCTAAATATCCTTCAGGAAGGATATGTCCATATTTTTCCCAACAAAATCCTTTTCTCCACACCCTCTCTAACCTTAAATTTTCTTTTTAATTTTTGTCACTCTGAATTGAGGGTACCTCATTGTTTCTTTGGTACTTATTTGATTATTAGGCTGAACATTTATTTCAAATGTTTATTGATTATTTATTTGCACATGATATGCTCCTATCCATAGTTCATTTCTCTACCTAGTATTTATTTTTCCTTAATAATTTAGAAGAGCACTTTTATACATTATATGTTAGAGATGATTTTCCCACCATATGTGATTTTTACTTTTAATTTTGTTTGTAGTGCTGTTTTACTGTACTGCAATTTAATTTTCATATAGACATATCTATAGAGCATTTCTTTTTTTAAGGTCATGCTTAGGAAAAGAATTTTATATTCCATTCATTTTTTCTGTGTTAAATGCTATGGTAGTATTCTAAACCTCCCTCTTTTCTTTTTAACACTTTTTAATTGAAATTATTGTGTGATTACTTGTTTAGCATCTTTCTTCCCCAACAGGCCATACACTACTTAAGAGCAGAAATCATGTTCCTTTTATATAGCTTTATCTCTTGTCAGAAATACAGTAGGTATTCAATAAATATTTGTTGAATGAATTTAAAATGTTAATCCATCTGGAATTCATTTAGATAATAGATATGATGTAGACACCTATTTTTCTATTTTTTTCCAAATAGTTTTCTCAAAAGTATGTATTGAATAATTCACACACACATAATCAGTCTCTCCCTCCCCCACCTCCCTTTCTCTGATTTGATAGCTTTACCATATTAAAAAATTCATACAGATATTTGTATCTCTCTAGATGTCCTGATCTTTTTTACCTATTCTGATGTCAGTATTATATATTAAAAAGCAAATGAAAAAATTCTCGGGCCAGCCAAGTGGCTCAGTTGATTAAGAGCTCACTCAAGAGTTTGAGCTCTGAGCAACAGCGGTTTGATTCCCAGCCCGAGCTGAGCAGCCGCTGAGCTGCCAACAGGTAGCAGGATGGCTCAGTTTAAAAAAAAAAAAAAAATTCTCCTCCCATGTTTTACTTTTTCAAAACTCACTATCCTCACACATTTACTCTTCTTCTAGCTGAGCTTTACTATCATTTTGTCAAGCTCTCAGAATCCCATTGGAATTTGGGATTTCGATTAATTTGAAACAATTGACACCTTAAAATATTTCATTGTCCCATTGAAGAGTATATGTCTTTCCATTTATATTCATCTGTTTGAATCTCCTGAGCTCTTTCCATTTAGGATCTAATGTTTTTCTTACTGAGTATATTTATACTTTTTGTATTGATCTTTATGCCTAGCTTGGATTTGGAAGTGAACAATTTGAATCTTTTTCTTTTTTCTGAAGCTTTCGTCAGGAGTGATAAACCCAAACTATTCAGAGGACTACAAATCAAGGTAAGATGATTTTAATGGGATCCCTTTTTTCCAGTATTAATTTCTTTCTTTTTTGAAGGTTGATCTCTTCAGGAATGGGATCATGTTTGTCATCATATTTAACCAGACTTAGGATTTCTCAGAACTCGCTGGAAAAATATTGGACCCAACCTAGGGGGTTGGAAGTTTCAGGAAACCAGCCTAATTATAAACTAATTACAACAAAATCATTAGATTTCTTAAACCAAAGAAATTCAAAGTCCAATGCAGAATCCTGTCTGATAATTTGTATGTATACCTTACGTATTTTACTATTGCCCTTACGTAATCGTTCTCTCTCGTTAATCATTTGAGCTTGTCTGCCTCCTTCATTAGATTTTAAGCTCATTTGAAAGTTTAAGAATATTATGTATGCAATAAACATTTGTTACAGTCAATAATAAGTGTAAATCCCAAATAAACTGTTGATATCAACAGGTGTTTTTCTCTTTAGAGGTAAAATGTAATTTTTTTAATTATCATTTTTTATGAAATCTCATTAAATTATTTCCCAAAAGACCTCCTTTAAGACCTGTTGTATGTAATGTTGTATCTAAAAGCTTTTTTTATGTTACTATTAAATTTAGATAAGCTGGATTCCTTTGGTTTGGATCTTGTTTGAGGATGATAAAGCTCTTCTAAGCAGAAAATAATGATGATGTCCCTCTTTTTTGTAGTATGTTCGTGGTTCAGACCCTGTACTAAAGCTTTTGGATGACAGTGGGAACATTGCTGAAGAACTGAGCATCCTCAAATGGAACACAGACAGTGTAGAAGAATTCCTGAGTGAAAAGTTGGAGCGCATATAAATCTTGATTAAATTGTGTCCTGTCCTTCTGTTACCTTATCAAATGAAATATTGCAGCACCTAGAAAATAATTTAGTTGTGCTTCCATCCTTTGATCAATCTTTTACTGCGAGGCACTAAACATCTAATTAAAAGTTGAAGTGGCAGCACAGCCCATTCTAACTAAGGAAATGACAAGCTTAACAAGTCATTTTTTTATAAATTTCTATCCTTCTACATTTGTTGATACCACTAACAAAATGCATTGTAATAGTCTTTAGGTTAATTATGCAAATGATAGTTTGTGATAATTGGTCCAGTTTTACAAACAACAGATTTTTAAATTAGGGAGGTTAATAAGGGAGATGATTACTACTATGCCTCATGTGCTATGTGCTCTTTGAAAGTAATGACAGAAAACTACAAAGCAAGTAAGATATACCGAGCCTCAGCAGATTGCTTGATCCTCAGATTCTTTCGTATTTTTATTACCCAACTTTCATTTTAATGCTATAGTTTATAATGAATGCACTGCATAAAAACTTTATGGCTTCGTTATTGTGAAACAGATTCAAGATCTAAAATGAGTGAAACATTCACAAAGATTTGCATTAATGAAGACTACATAGAAAACCTTTTGAGGATTTGTGTGGATCTGATGTTTAGCAAATTTTTGTGCTTTACATTATTACAGAAAAGTGAATTTTAAAATGATATTTGTAAGACCAAAATATAAATAAAAAGTTTCAAAAACTATCTGAATTTGAAATTCTCCTGGTTTGTCCTTTCATGTTTAAAAATGACACATTTCTCAGTACATTATTTTCTTTTCATACAAGACTTTGTTTTCTTTTAGCCAAAATATTAAAATGTTTACACTATTTAAAACTTATAACTTTTTATTGTAATAGTGCTTTATATTTGTCTAGCAATTTTTTTGTTTTTTAAAGGGCTTTCATTTATAAACACATTTTTATTGATATCTTACATAAAGAATATCTCTTAAAATATAAAATTTTATGAGCTATTAAAAATAGCTGGTGAAAATCACTTCTTCATAAAAGGTAGTTCACTAAGAACAACATTCATCCAAATGACTAGGTCATTTAAATTGCTTCTAACAACTTACCAAATTGGTCAAAAATCCTGTTATGTCAACTTAATCTCAGGATAAATTCTTATAATCTAGGAACTTTCTTAATTTTTTATTTTGAAGTATACCATCATAATAAAGGATATTTGGAAGTCTTTAAAGACAACTATACCAGAATATGTTTATAGAATATTTTTAATAATGATCAGTTATTAATCTTTACTGGCATTTTGTGTCATGTTGTATTTAAAATTAACTATACTTTTAAAGCCAGCAAGAGAATGAGTAAACTCTGGGCAATTTGTTTAATCAAAATGAAATACTATGAGAAGTCCTGGCAAGCAGACTATGGTCTGCTTTTGGGCATCTAAAATAATAGAGATGACCATCATTTTGCTAGTACAAGGCCCTGGATAAATTGGCACTGAATACTAACGGTGGTTATTACTTCAGAACAAGAGGGAGGTGAAGCCAATCATGGGTAGTAGAAAAACAAGAGAGGAATTGTCATCACATGGAGAATAGTGGGATAGAAGGGGATAAAATGGCAAAACTGGGATCGGCATTGGAAACTAATTGTGCTGGTCTCCAGGCAGGAAAAGCCAGTTAAATGAGTATCTGGCATTGGGAGTTTAAAAGATGGAGAGAAGCCTAAAATACCTATTATTCAATTGATTATGAGAGATCAAAAGAGGCTGAAGCGCCTCACAGTATCTTCGAGCTTGAAATTCTTGAGTTGATGAATATATGTGTACCTACCAAGCATCACTATTTTAATTAGGAGATTCGAGTTAATCAGCCAATTCCAACTTTTTCACCAACTCCAGTCAAAGAATAGCTAAAAGCTTTTTAAAGAAACAAAGAAATCTTGATTACCAAGAAAGGGGTATAACTAATCCAAAACATACCATTTTTGTAGCCAAATTCTGACATTTGATTAAGCTTAGTCAAGTCAAGCGTATTACAAATGTGGATGTATACTAGTCACTTGGTATTTATAAATTTGCTACCCCTGCCAAAATGATGTTACTTATAACCTAAAACAGTTCATTTATCTCTAAATTTCTGGATTTGGCAAAAGCTTCTTACAAGAAGTTATGAGCAAAAACACATTTCCTGTTTTAAGGGGATTTGAGATCTGAAAGGTAGTCTAAAATTAAAGTTAATAAAATGCAGAAAACACTTGAAAGCAAATACAGCAAAATTTTGAAAATTAAAATTGGCAATAGCTAGTATGTGAAAGAATGTCTACAAATATATGGGAAATAGAAGCAATGATTTCAGATAGGAGCGCAATTAGGTAAGTATTTCTTTTACTTGAAAACTAAACTAACTTGTAATTATATTCTGTGGTGACAGCGAACTTTTTCTGGGAGGAGAGGGCCTACATTTATGCTCAAAAATTCAAAACAAACTTGCTGATTAAATATAAACATTTAACCTTCAACGTGGCCCTTGGCCCAGGAATCAGTACCATGAAATTGGGTTATTTAGAAATAGTGAAGGAATAAAACCAAGAATAATTGTGTGAAGCCTCTAAAATTAATCCTTTCCTGTTAACCACCCTTGAAACACTTTATAAGTACAGTATTTTATCTATTCAGCATTACTGGAAGTTTAGATCTTGAAATTCAAAACTTTTTAAAAAACCTTTTTTGGTAGAAAAACTAAATAACTAAAGCTGATCCTCATTAGTGAATTCCATATTTACAAATTCACCAACTTATTAAAATTTAATTATAACCCCACAATCACAATACCTGAGACACTCTTGAAGTCATTAGCAGATGGGATGTGTGCACAGCAGAGAAAGTTTTGAGTCCCCTAATACATTCATTCCCAGCCAAGTTAAACAAGGTGACACTGCCTTGTTTCAGCTCTCATGCTATAAACAAATATCCTTTCACAGTCCTTTAGTGCCATATTTTTGGAGTTTTTTGTGCTTTTTGTTGGTGGTTTAGCTGTTTAAAAGTTAAAGTGATATTTAGTGTTCCTAAAGTGTAAGAAGGTTGTGATGTCCCTTATGGTAAACTACATGCTTTAGATATGTTTTGTTCAGGCATGAGTTCAATGTTAATAAATCAACAATGTATATTAAATAAGGATCTATAAATAGAAACACATAAAACAAGGGTATGTATGGATAGGTTGACAACACTGTTGTGATCAGAGACTTCCAGGAACCTAACCTTGTATTTCCCTGAAGACCAATGGTTCAGTATTTGGTAATTCAGTGTTTGCAGTGACTTTATAGAACATAATTAACTACCATGAGTACTGAGAATTGACTAACATTTCTTTTTAACATTTTTTTATGGAAATATAATTCACATTTTAAGTTCACCCACTTAGCATATGTAACTCAATGGTTTTTTAGTATATTCACTGAGTTGTGCCACAAAAACCACAGTCTAAATTTAGAATATTTTCATCACCCCAAAAAGAAATTCTATCTGCTTTCACAGCCACTCTCACACCTACCCACCCTTAGCCCTAGACAACCACCAATCTGCTTTCTGTCTATTTGGATTTGCATATTCTGATTTAAGTGGAATTATACAGTATATAATATGTGGCCTTTTGTGTCTGGCTACTTTTACTTTGCATGTCTTCATGGCTCATCCATATTATAGCATGTATCAGTTCTTCATTCCTTTTTGTGGCTGAGTAATATTCCTTTTTATTAATATGCCACAATTATTCATCATTTGGTAGATATTTGGGTTGTTTCCACTTTGGGGCTATTATGAATAATGCAGCTATACACATACAAATTTTTGTGTGAAAATGTTTTTGTTTCTCTTATATATACCTAGGAATGGAATTGCTGAGTCATATATATCTACATAACTTTTTCAGGAACTGCCGAACTTCTCCAAAGTGGCTACACCAGTTTACATCCCTACCAGCAATGTACAGGGCTTCCAATTTGTTTTGTTTTTTTAATATTTTTTTTTTAATTGGGGAATTGGGGGAGGGGAACAGACAAGTTCCTGTCCTTTTTTGTTCATTCTAGTTGTGGAGGATGTTGCTTTACTGGCCCATGTTGGTATTATCATTGCGCTCTTCCCACATGAGGCAGATCGGTCGCCGGCTTCTTGGACGGCTGCTCATGGCAGCTCTTGGCAGCTCACGTTGGCTGCCAGCCACACATGGTAGCTTATGGCAGCCCACTGCAGCAGGGGCTGCAGCTTACGCTGTCGCTGGCGACTCAAGGCAGCCCAGCTCCAGGTTGAGCTGTTGTTCACCATCTTAGCTGTAGAGGGCAGTGTCACTGGCCCTCATATGTGGGATCTGAACCGGGGCCCTGCTGCTCAGAGCTAGCATCCCAAGCCAGCTCTTAACCAACGCACTACTCAGCCAGCCCCCAATTTCTGTACATTCTGAATTTCTTCGTCTCTCATTAAGTATTCATTTTACAGTCTTATCTGGGCCCACTGAGATGTGTTAAGCACTTTGCCCTCTACTAAGTGGTCTTCAGACTGCAATTCTTTTTTAATTCTTTAGATAGTATGTTTTATTCTCTCAATTTTACCTGCCTTTTCCACTTTGTCACTTTACTGGATTTTAACTTGTTTTTCCTCTTCCCCATCTTCAGTCATGAATGTAAACTATTCCTGTAAGATGTCCACGTCTGGTAGAGGTCATATTCTAGTGGGACAGGCAACCATTAAACAAAAGTACAAATATATAATTGCAACTATGGTAAAAGCAATGATAAGAAAAAGTTACCAGAAGAGAACTACAAAGGAAACTAATGAATTTAGGGATCCTGAAGGATGTGACATTCAAACTGAGGACTAAATATAAATGGGAAAAAAAGTGAATTGGATTGCCTTCCAGTCAGAGGGAAGAGGTTGTGCAAAGATCCTGATTTAGTAGCAAGTCTGGAACCTTTGCATACCTGAAAGAAGGCCAATGTGCCTGGAGAATAATGAACCAGAGGGAAGAGTAGCAGGAAATGAGGTTGGGAAGGTAGGCAAGACGGATTCAGTTCGTGCCATCTTAAGAATTTATATAGCTGTGTTCTAAATTGCTTTTAGAAAAAAAACTTAAGCAGAGGAATAACAAACTCCAATAAGATCAACTCTAAAGGTCATGAGCAATCAGCAAATATTCAGTTATGCCTTTATAAACACTAAGTGCTTTATCTAGTGCTTTCACAAATGATTCAGGAGCCTCTAGTATACAATTTACTTTTGAAAACTACTCATCAACTTGCTTTGAGAACAAAAAAGACAAGCCTAAGCATAAATGTTAAATTTTATGAGATTCCAATGTTCATTTACATATACCCAAAGGATTTTTAAAATAGTCACTAGTTATATGAACTAGTGGAAATGCCTATTACTTCACACCACATTGGGGCATTCCTCCTTGACCCATCTATGAGCTGAGCACTAATCTCAATTCTGGTTCCAAAGAATTACTGTCTGATCTGGATTCTCCAGGAGTTTGCCCTTGTGGGTTGTGTGTGCTCTCCTGTTATAAGTGAGCCTTGATTGCTATTGGCATGTGCAGTGGGTGGAGTTGACCCTCAGGCTGATTGGCTGTGGGGTTTGGCCACGTCCACAACTTATGGGTTGCTGTGTGTGTGTGTGGAGGGTGCGGGGGAGGCTTACCCCACTGAGTGGCATTCATCCCAGTGGACTCTGGTGCCTGTTGAGAC